AACCTCAACTGTGCACATTCAACGGTGGAACCAGACGATAGGCTTAAAAGTTTCCCGGCTTGACTGTTTAAAGTAGACGATTGGCTGTCCAGCGGGAGGGGTGGGATATGTGCATACAACCGCCATGTTTGGTGTTGTGGGTTTTCCCTATACATTTGTATTAAGGATTGAGGAAGTGGCATGTCTCTATATAAATAGTCTCTGGCGCTATATGTGAATCCGGGCATAGACTGTGCCATTGACTAACTGGAACCTGGTCTAAAGTCAATGGTGCAATATACATTGTTTTTTTGTTATTTAAAGAGAGTGTCCACAACGCTATACACTTTGTCACATAAATGGTCTTAACCTCACGCATGAGCAGATCCATTTCCTCATTAGAGAAGCGTTCAGATTTTCTGTTTGCAAATTCCGCCATGTAAATAGTGAATCCACCATGGTGCAAGCACAACTATCTTTTAAAGGGAATGGGAGATGAGACTCTGATTGGTTTGTTGCACGTTACGCCCAAACCACACCCACTACTCATTAAGAGAATAGGGAAGTTCTCTTAATAACCGCCGCTCAAGTAGCAAAAGTGGATTCGGACATGCCCTAAGTGCACTTGCGCTGTGCGCTTTAGACCATGCACTTAGATCGTTAAAATAGAGCCCAATAAGTGTGTCTACATTTTTTTTTGCCTTCAAATCACCAACCTACAATACACTACTAGCTACAGAAGAAGTAAAATGAGCGTGAAGATTCTCTCCACATGATGAAACACATTGAGGGGGGTGACCCACACATACACAATCTTAACAAAAAAAACTATTAATTTCTTGAGTATGTGCATAAAACTTTTTAAATTTGCACCAAACTATGCCTCTTTAACTAAAAAAGACAGACTATGAATGCTATAACTATTAATTATGAATTTAGAGTAAGATAAAAATGAATATCGGAAAAAATTGAAATAATGAAATTCTAAATAAAATACTTTTTCAGGTTTTACTGAAAGAGTTAAAAAAACCAAATGCTTCATAGCTGGAAAATCTGGGTATCTTCAAACATACGCATGAGAATTAATAGAGAAAAGTAAAGCGCACAAATACATTTTTCATTATATGCTCACAGACTATGGACGTTCATTCCATTTTTCATCATTTAAGTCTACACTAGGTCTGTATTACAGAGTCAAGCAGGCAGACAGCAAACAGACTGACGGATTTAGTCTGAGAATCAGTTGGGACAAGGACAAGGCCGTTGATTTGTGTTGTCTTGGCTTGGTCGTTATGTAATCTGTCTGATCATTAATCAGTTTATAGTCATTTTGTAACATGGATCAGATAAATGAGGCCGAGACGAAGAGCGTAAGAGAAAAACAAGAAAGCTTATGCAAAGCTCATATCCTTAAACAGACTAGACAATCTATTCACAAATGCAGCATGACCTTTGACATTTGACCCAAGCTGTCTGCCACACTGGTCTTACCCTCCAACGCCAAGAAGGACTGTACTGTTAGCCTGCTGTGCTGTTTCTATTCTATTAAGTTTGCATAAATATACCCTTGAAAGAGATAATCTAATCAACACTGCACTTTAAAGTGTTTCTAAAGACATGAAATTAAGTTAGAGGGACTCCCAAGAGAGCCTCTTCTCAAACAATAACATTGGGAAAATACAATGTTCAAGAAAATAGGATCAGATGAATCTGTTACAGAAAACATGGGGGACTATGCAAAAGGTTCAAGAATTTGCAAAATGCAGGACACAAACCCTTCACACAGAGTTAAATTGTTATCCCGCGCAATTAATACAGCTCTCATCAGTGTGCTTACGTTAGCTATGACATTTAACACAAAAAAACCATTGCCTCTCTGTTAGGAATGCAGCACAAACCGTCTGTGAGGTTTTCTGCTGATGCACAGAAGCCCATAACGCTGTAGGAGTGAGCTGTGAGAAGAATGCAAAAGTCATGACCATGTGTAGGTGGAAGAGAAATATCTGAAACCGACGCACAGGATCCACCTTATTAAACCTGTCTACTTATATATTCCTTTATTTATTACTGCTGTTCCTCCATGTTTCCTAATGCATTGCATTTCATGTTTTAAACTACTGCTCTGACGTTTGTTTGGAGACTCCTTTTCTACTAACGACAAGAAGCCAGCATGAATCTGCTCATTCCATGTCACCAAACAACCAGCCCTGAACGTTTAAAAGCATGTTTCCAAAACAGGAGACTTTGATTCAGTCACGCTTCACAACATCACATTTAACATGTGAAACGGTGACCATTGTGTTTGAGCTCCTAATCATTTTCATGTGAGTAGAATTAGAAACACCACTATTCGAGGGTACCCATATGAGCCAAGGACTTACTCAGGCAAAGAGGTCATGCATATAGACTGCACTGGAGTATAACACATTTTGATTTTCACAGGAGTAAAGATAAGTATTATGATCATGGCTACCCATATCACAAAGTCCACAGTAGCTACAAAAACATAAGATAAAAAATGTTCTATCTACAGGTCTCACCGTATGATATATTTTATACAACAGTTCTCTAATTTAAAAGGGTTAGTTCACCCAAAAATGAAAAGTATCCCATCATTTACTCACCCTAAAGCTCCTAGGTGTATATCTATCTTCTTTCAGACAGACACAATCTGAGTTATATTAAAATCCTGGTTCTTCCAAGCTTTATAATGGGAGAGAAAAGTAACTGAGATTTTGAAGCCCAAAAAGGCAAATCCATCCCTTATAAAAGTAATACATCTCCAGGGGGGTTATAAAGGCCTTCTAAAGTGAAGTGATTTGTTTTTGTAAGAAAAATATCCATAACTATTGACTAGTTCCAGTAACGTCCATTCGCGCGTTCACGAGAGTTGAGTTCTGGCGTATGGTGTACTTGGACGTAGCATAAATAAGCTTAGGTGAGAATAGACGCCTCTCGCTGTTCAAACAAATTAGGCTGGGCAACAAACTCAAGCTTGTCCGACATACCTCTTTAAAAAATGATTGGTTTAGACTTCTAATTCGTGACTGTTGTTTTTTTGCTCTATCCTCTGCACTTCCATGTTCGTCAATACGTCATGCGTGGGGTCAGAGTTCACTCTTCGGCCAGGTCTTGACTTGAGTACGGCCGTTAAATTTATGATGGATGCGCTTTTTTGGGCTTCAACATTTTAGAAACTACTCTTATTATAAAGCTTGGAAATATATTGGGCAGAATATTTTTTTAATATAACTTCGATTGTGTTTGGCTGAAAGACGTCACATACACCTAAGAGGGCTTGAGGGGAAGTAATTTATGGGATAGTTTTCATTTTTGGGTGAACTAATGGTGCGTTCTATTATTCGTCCGTCTCGGAGATCCGAATCGGACGACAGAGGTTGCCTAGCGACACGCCCCTTTTCCTCGGATTTCTCCTCTCGGACGTTGGACATCTGTGAGGACACCGAGCAGGAATTCAAGATGGCTGTGCCCTGTGACTTGTAAGAATGAATTGTTTTCATTGTTTTTGAACCGCTTCGGTATTTTAAATGACGATTATAATCACTCGTATTACTGCGTCCCCTGTAGGTATGGGAATTGGTTGTTGTGAGTGCAATTACTAACATTGCTAGCGTTGCTAACAGAAGATTAATATGGAAAACATTAAATAAAGTGAACATTGAACAAGTTCAAATGGCAGCGTTTGGATAAGGTGTTGTCATAATATTTTTTTTTTTTTAAATGTAAGTGCCTGGTACTTAGCCAGTGCTACCATTATAACAGCTTTCTGGGTGGCGTCCATTTTTTTTTGTCCGACTCGGACACTCAAAACATAATAGAATGCTTGAAGTGTGGACGTGACGTCAAATCCGAGGTCCGAGTCGGTTCGTTGGCTATAATACAACACACCATAACCCTTTAATGGATCCAATGAAGTTTCTGATATTTAGTATAACATCACTTGGCTTGCCTGTGTGGCATTCCCAAAATGTTGTGATGTGTGGATATTCAATACAACAGCCCGATTGCAAGTGTAAGAAACCCTTTTTACATTAAACTGTAAGAAATAATGGTAACTGTGGACAGAATATAGTCTACTTGATGAAAACAGGGTCACTAAAGCAGACTTGCACAGTGTGACTGAGAGTTTAGTGTCATTTGTAGTATGTCAGTGAGTGGACTTTCTGTTCAAAAAGTGCTGAGGAGGGGAGATGAGTTGGGTGCTTTAGTGTTTTCAAGTTGCTAAATCTTCCGTTCCTCGGAGTGCATGGCATTTCACATAATTTCAGGACCAGCATGCTTATGGAAAGCCCCAAATCACTGTCTAGTAGGCTACCTATGCATTATGCAGTCTGCCCAAAACTGTCAACTGTTGTTTCATGCTAGCCTGGTCTGGCTGCATCTGCTGAATGGGAGAGTATTGCAAAATAAAGTTAAACACGCGAGTGAAAACATTCACTTTTACAAATTCAAACTGCTGGAGGGAAGATGACAGTCCCCAGGAATGATTTGTCTCACACAAACACATATTTATACATGTGTTTCTCCTTTGAAAATAGGCTTTATAACATTTTCTAACCTATTTTATCTATCTATCAATCAGTCAGTCAATACGTGAATCATTAGAACTCGTGAAGTAGAGCCACTGAAGATGAATAAATCTTACGATTACACAAAAACACGCACACACATACACAAATAATGCTGAATCGACAACTGCCACAAATTAAAATATAGGCTACCGCTGATATGTTTTCTAATGTGATTTTTTTCCCATAGCTTCCATGTGCGCGCGCGCACAGGTTGTCACCTGCCTACCGCCTATTACGTTCACACGACTTTTCTTCGCTTTGGAAAAAGCTAAAATTAAAACCAACCAAAAGTGTGAAGTAACATTTGACATGTTTGAGTTTTAAACCAGCTTTTTATGCGAGTACTCCTTTGCGTTTGAAACATTTCAAAGAGATATGTTGTCATTCTATAGCTATTATTATTTCCTGCATCAATGGAACTGAACTCACCTCCATGGCTGTTGATAGTGGCGCTCCAGGATGGGATCGTGTAACACAGCAACACAGTTAAAGCAAACAGACCAGTAACTGACTTCATGTTCCAACAACAGGAACCGCTCTTCTACTAGTTCGGAGACAGTCCTCTATTTTGAGTCTCAGCTCCGCCAGGTCATTATAACGAGAAAGATTGTAGATTTGGCTACGCAGTTTAAATTGATTAAATGGTTAATATGTGAAATATGGATGCTATATTTACTAAACTAATTTTAAGTCAGCACATCCTGGCTGTCCGCAACAGAACAAAATTCAAAACGTGCACGATGTTCTTTTTCTTTGAGTCTCGAAATAATCACTGCACAATTCAGCGCATCGCACAATATAAGTAGAACCCAAATCCGCTTCCTTCCGAGAAAATGTTTAACTTTCCCGAAGTTTAATCCGATGTGAAATACATTTGCTGTCAGAAGCTTGAAGCAGAAGAAGCGCGTGAAGCCTGCACGTTCAAATCCTCCAGCACTGGCTTGAACACAAATTCAATTGTCCCGTATGACCACCGGATATTCCCGTCCGAGTAAATGATATCTGAATATGTCCAATGTGGGATTCCAAAATCATAAATAACATAGAGATAAATGTACCCGCCTGAGAAACAAAACTATAAGCGTGAATTCGCTTTCCAGCCGTCTGAGTAATCTCTAATGGGCAACACAGGCTTCAGTCAAATCCTCTCCATGTCCCGCCCATATTGTCTACGTCACAACAGGTAAAGCGTCTCGAGTTGAAAGGAAGCGCAAGGAATTTGTAGAAATACTTGGGAAACGAATACGTAGGCTGATGCCCTCAGCAGTCTGTTAGCCTGTACCAAATGATAAAATCATCAGATTTCAAACAGGAATCAATACAATTATTTAAAAAAATGTGTTATAGACAGCATAAACATGCAATTCAATGTTGAAAAGAACAATAAAAAAAGAAGTGATATAGCTATTTCATGCATTCGTTCTTTATAAAATTGATTAACTTAAAATAAAATTCGTGCACGAATTTGACTACAAATTGGAACCGGTTCTATAGGGCATGAACATAGAAATCTCTAAACTCAGTAAGTAATTCTGGATTAATTCATTCCGTTTCTATTCATTATATTCAAATAACTGAGATTGAAAATGAAACCATAAAAAATGTGCCACTCCCAATTAGTGATAGCCTAAATGGCACGAGGAGCTGTCATTTTTCTATTAGGCTATGTATGATTAATGCAAGTTGCGACGGGAACGTGCAGAAGGGAATTGAGGGAGTGCTTTGATAAATCTACTCTTATTCCCGACAAAAGCACGGGGGAGGGCGGATTTGCGCAGGCCACGACCCGCTGTCCATCTGCCTCTCTGTAATCCGGGCAAGAACAACGACATCTGAGGGCTTCAGCACTCTCTGAATTTCACGGGGCAGCAGGACAAAGGCCAGCGAAGCGACGAGGCGGCGAGCGGTCAGGTGACGGAGGAACAAGTTGAAGATAAAGGTTTGTTGAGGCAATATGTTGAGCAACATACAGGTCCTTCACTAAAAAACAAATCATACTCCATGATTCCCGTTTGTTTGAAGGATCGTTTTGGCGTTATGTGCAAGTGTCAATACACTGTATTGTTTAGGCTATAAGCCTATTGGTCTCCTCACGACGCCCCCCTCTGGACAGGTGAGCATCCTGTTTTAGCCTACAGGATATTTTTTTTTTGTCTCTAATTAAAGGAACAATTTGGTAACATTACTTTAATTATTAATCATTTCAAATGTATTTTCTTTGTTCACTTTCCGTCCTGTTAGTATTTGTGATATCTTTTGAATTTTAAAGTCAGGTCACATGACATTATCCTCCGTCGGTTTTGGACGATAAACAGCACAAATATGCGCAAGTAGTTATTACCATTTCTGTAAAATTAAAGAAATGTGAATGTTAATAAAAGAGAGAAAAAAAACAAAATTAACTTATCATTAACTATATTGGCTATATTCATTCCAGTTTTCTTGCTATTGCATAAATAACCAATCTATAATAAATTACTCTGCCTGCATTATGTTATTAAACTCTCATATAGCTGGACATGAGTTCCACTCAACCTTACTGAACTCCAAAAACTCTTTTATGGACCAAACAAAAGGACAGAAGTAGGCATAGGTGAATTCCTGGAGGCCCAAGTGTGCTGCGTGCCTTTAATAACTGTTCCCATATCAGCTTCCCATCCCTTCGTCATCACAGATTACATACAACAACTGATCTCTGATCAGCTTCTAAGGTCTTTTATTGAAAGGTCATTTATAGGAAGACCAATCAGCTATGACATGTTGAAAAGACCTTAAAGGGATTGTCATGGAACTTATCTGGTGGAGGACATTATTATTCTTCCCCTGAGCTGAGCGAGTAACACACAGTGTGGGGCCTGAACCCTTGAAGTGAGGTCTCGCTGTCCCTTGAGCATGAAAAAAGAAGTGTCGAGGTTTACACAGAGACCCCTACAGAGACCTCAGATTGGGAGATTTTTAAAGGGTCACATCCACAATGTAATATCTTAATGGGGGGAAGTGGAGGAATTATGTATACAGAGTGTGTGTATGTGATTCAGTCTATACCCTATATTATACAAAAGCTTATAAATCATATGTGATGGGTAGGTTTAACAGTAGAATAAACAAATTGTACAGTATAAAAAAATCTTAATCCAGACTGAATGAATTGCTTTGTGATCAGTTAAATGGAAGTCATTTAGCAAGCTCTTTAATTATGTGTCTGCTAGTCCCGATCAGTCCTGGACTGTGCGATGACCTTGCAGCAAAACATAAACAGGCACATCTCAGGACTAACAAGCAGTGGACAAATCACAATTGGATTAAATGTTTGTCTGGATAGTCACAGCATACAAACCCTCACTAATTAGATGTGTGCATGTTTATCATTAAACTACCAGATAATGTGTTAGTGCACTGAGGTCAGTGTGTAATGAGTAATTTATTATAAGAATAACAATTCACAGAGTTCAAAAATATAAGTGATAATAAAAATATAGGAATATATGAATGTTGTTCTTCCAAAATAGAGGGAGCTCTGTAAAAGCAAAACTTAATAAAAAAAAATCAATAAGCACAAAATGTGAATGTATGTTAACATTATATACACTTAAAAACCTCTAATTGTATATATAATTTTACTATCTCATATATAATGTCTAAACCCCTGAAATGACCATAAAATGACAAAAACAGTTTTACAGCTCAGATAATACATACCAGAATAATGCATTTAAGGTGATTTTAATAAGCTTCACATTTCTGTTTTTAAATCCTCCCAAAGTAAGTGCCTCGCCTCATTTTTTAAGAGAACGAGGGACGAGTGAAAAAAAAAATCTGTGCTTATAAACAAGCTTAACTTGTACAAGACCCAGAATATTCTGTAAGTCTATAAAACAGACAGTGCTTCGTGACCAAAAGCTGTCCAAGATGGCTTTGGCAGGCACCCGACAACCCAGCATGCACCAGGTCAAACTGGTTTATATACGAACACAGATAGAAGTGTGTAAACCAATGCATATAATAATCCTAGAATATCAACAGTTGTGGAAAGAAAAAAGCAAATCAGAAAATCATCAGAACACAAATTATGCACCAATCATAAGAGTTTTTAATGTGCGTGCACATTTTCAGAGCCAAATATTTCTCCATTTCATCAGTATGTGTGTGTATTCCAGTCCACTGCCACCTCGAAACCTCCCCCAGACCTTACATCTCACTTCCAATAAGTCCTCACCTTCCTCTGCCTCATTACTCCAGCACTGTTCATTGACTGGCTGAAGGAGCATGTTGAGTCATCAGCAGCAAAACTGCAGGTCATTAAGCGGTCCTGCCATTCACCCTGTGGTCTTCTCCACCCGTGTTATTAAAGTATTACTCACTCCTTTACCTCGGGCAGCTGGACCAGCAGGACACAGGTGATGTGATAACATCTCTAGAGATATCTGTTCACTATCTCTGGTCCACATCTCCAAATGGCCAATCTGGTAGTTGCCCCTGAGTAGACAGACATGTCAGACGATGACTTTCTAGCTCTGTGCTGGTGCTCGGTGAGGGGGATGGTATGGTGTTACATGTACCATGGATGTTTTCCATCCCCCATCCGTAACAAGAAAAGGAATCACCGAGAATGTTAAGAAGAGATTCAATGTATTGTGAGTTCATGCAATAACATTATAAGGGAGAAAATTAGGCTATTATTCAGAATTATTGTAAAAAAAAAAATAAAAAAATACATAACTATAACTAAACGAAAAATATACACCATTATGGAATATTTGCATAATAATGTATAAAATAAATGTTGGGGTCTTTGTTTGATGGACTTTTGCAACTGAAAATTAGCCAGGAGTCGTATTTTAGATAAGAAATGAACATCTAGGTCTATTTTTGCCAAATAAAACCAAACTAAAACCATCTATTGCAACTATTTCATCCCCAAGCAACACACAGTATTTCATTCCTGAATAAATCAACATTTTGAATGAATCAGTTGAGGGATGGATTTAATGACTCATTCATAAAGACAGTGGCTGCGTCTGAATATGCATCTGGCGGGCAAAAAACAGTATTAGTATGTATTCAAGGTTTTCATAACAGTAAGTAAAAAGATCTTTTCTGACAAGTTTCTGAAGTGCACATCTAATGGTGTGCACATCATCTTATCACATGAGGCCATAGAAGAGGATTTGTGAATGGGAGCAAAGAGACGCAACTGATGCTGGTATGCATTATTGGGGGTAACGCATTACAATTGATGCAAGTTATGCAATCATTACTTATTTAAAATAACTAATAAAGTAACACAGTACTCTTAAATGTAAAACTAAATATCTGAGTTACTTTTTAAATAAGTTACTCAAGTTACTTTGCGTAAGGAATTAAGCTGTTATGAGAAAAAGGAGGCTGGAACCAGCCAACGTTCAAAAAAAAACTTTAATAATACACAAACGCAAAACGAAAGAAAGGCAGCAGCCCCTGATGAACGATTTTATAATAAAGCACAGCGTAAAGTCCAGGCCTGGTCCGTTCTCATCCTTCACTGCCGCCGCTCCTCCTTTTATGCTTTCTTAGCTCCTTCGTGAGATACCATTCTCTCACGGCCCTCGTCCTGCTTGCCCTGCCACATACCCCCATCGCCCCTCACAGGCCTCGAGGGTACCCTTGAGACTCCACTCTTGGCCCCCTAGAGAGGGGCTAGTCACAGCGGCCGCGGCACCTGGGGGTAAGGACAGACGAGGCGAGAGAATGGGAGACGGAAGCATGAAGAGGGACAGAGGGGGGAGAGAGAGGGAAAAAAAATCTTGGTCCGGTTCCCAAAACACACTGCCATCTGGTCCTCCACCAGCTGAGTGATCTTCTCCGCGGTGCCTGGCGATGGCGCTGGATAGATCAGTGTCGTCGCTCCTCATTTTATGCTTCTGCTCCTCCTTGAGATGCGAGGCTGGTACAACGTGCAGGTGTCGCTCATCATCAATCACACCACTGCCCTCACGCCTTTCGCTCATGGCCCTCGTCCTGGTCCTGCATGCCACACTTTTCTCCCCATTTATTGCCACCTCTCCTGTCCCCATGTTGAGGGAAATCAGGAGTGAGGTGCAGAGGTGTTGCGTGCGCTGTGTGAACATGAGGGTTATAGTTCTAGACTGAATGTGAGCAGGCAATTAC